CCAGGCTGAGTTTTCCAGCTCTGCTGTGCCACAGCCAGCAAGTGGCAGGACCAGCTTTCCCGTGTTCCCTAGACAAGGTGTGGGCTACTCTTCTAAGTGCTGCAGCCAGCGAGGGATGGGCCCAGCCCTGCACAGCCCTTGGATCTGAAACATGGTCTCAGGTGGCAGCCCAGACCAGGATGTCTACATGCTCTGGGGTGGTAATATGCGTCATGGACATTGACACAGACTCCTGCTGCTGCATGGCCACCCAACGGAAATGGCCCTCAGTGGCAGCGCAGGCTGGAACTTTACCTTGGCCCCAGATGGCAGGGCAGGCAACTCACATCAGACTATTTCTCTCCACCTTCTCATCTCCAGTTCCACCTCTCTTCATAGTGCTCAAATCTTTTCACATCTCTTTTTCTCTCTTCTCTCCACCACATACTTGCACATTATAGTGGGTCCCTCCTCAGGTGGGCCACAGGGCAAGTGGCCTCTTCTGCTGGCCTGTGCTGTGTGGCAGTGGGTAGACCTCTAAATAATAGTTTTTGAAGGGTTTATATGGCAGTGAACCTGTGGCCTAATGTCATTCTTATGTGAGGAACTCTGGGCAGATTCCCTAAATTCTGATTAGGACTTTTTTTTTTTCCCTCTTGAATAAAACACACCCCATCTCTATCACCCTACACACACACACACACACACTCACACACACACACCCTTACATGTGCATTTGTAGCTGGGCATGGTGGCACAGATCCATAATTTGAATACCTGGGAGGTTGAGGCAGGAGGATTAGACTGTGATGTGAATACCAGGCCACTCAAAGAGTGACATAGCAAGACTCTGTCTCAAAAGAAAAAAAAAAATAAGAGGAAAGCACCCCATCTCCCGAAGAACCCCATCCCCACCAGGCCAAGAAAACCCCACTGTATATTAAGGGTCTGGCCTGGGGATGCTTAAGATAAAAGATCGTCTCCATCAAGTCCTCTCAATGGGAGTAAGACACAGTCCTGTCTACCTGTTCTATGCCTGCCTGTTCCTTGCCTTTCAGGTTGAAATGCGCCTCTCTACTCCTGGCCCTGCAAATAAAGCTTGCTCCCGTATCCTATTTACATGTCAGATAGAGGAAAGAAGGGGGCTGTTGGGATTTCAGAAATAAACACGATATCCTTCTGAAAAAACTCAGCGCCTAGTGATATCAAATTATAATTTTAAAGTAATATAAAAATAATAACTCTCTTAGATGAATGAAAGCAAGTATAACTCAAGGGTAAGCTTAATGAACAGGGAAGAGAAGTGAGGTATTTTGACAGACACTGATTTCTAAAGAACAGGTGCACACGGTGGCTAAAAATAGTGTTGTGTCATCAGCATTAGAGAAAATGTAGTCAGGGGAAAAAGCCTGAGATTTCTTTTCTAAAATCATCTGTTGAGTAACATAAAGGAATATGGGAGTAGGTGAAATGTGAAGTTTTGAAAACCAGGTCAGTGGGTGTTTTCTGAAAGGTTGTAACAGTAGCACACCCCTATATATGCTTTAAACAATTTAGACAGTGTACATTTTCAGTTCACTTTCTTGAGTTCAGCTGTTCAAGTCCTGTAAGATAAAGGGTATGGGGCAATGCCTCAGGACAAATGTCACTGGGTAAGCGAAAAAAAACCACCTCAAAGTCTAGACTTACAAAATTCCAAGACTGCCCTGTATTGCAGTGCTTTTTGCACAAAGGGAGGCAGAATTAATAGGTTTACTCTGTTTCTGGGTCATACAAAGATAGCAGTATTGGAAGTTTTACTAGTTGTAGTACTGCTATCTCTTATGAGAGGGATTGTAGGGATGAGGGTTTAGTATTACAAATTCTAGAGTCATGCTAGGACAGAATTCTGTCCCCAACAGTTTCTAGCTATGATGTAACCTTTTTATCGTGCTGTTTCCTCATCTATAAAGCCCACCTTCTGAGTCATTGTGTGTAAATAAACTGAGTAGCATATTATTTATTTATTTATTTATTTATTTATTTATTTATTTATTTTTTTAAAAGCCATTAATCAAGGTCTGGGGATGTATACAGCTCAATTGTTAGAGCATTTGTCCAGCATATTCAAGGTCTTGGGTTCCATCTGCAGGACTCCCCAAACAAAAGAGCAAACAAACATACTAAGCAATGGGGGCTGTGTATGATTCTTCCCTTATACTTTGAAACTGAGGCTGGAAATTGGTAACTTTACAGAAATGTATGTCCAGGGCTTCTTACGACATCTTCAGTACCCTTTTCATGAGACAGTGCTATTCCTGTGCTCAAGTTGTGAATCAAGATTTAACCTGTTGCTTTACTGCTTTTATACAGGGTTCTTGGAAGATCACGTTTAGTCTGTACAGAGCTAACCTCGGGGTAGCATATATCTGTCCATGGAGAATGGACCTAGCAGCTCAGTGTCTGGCGGGGTCTGTACCTTTTACCTTCCATTCTTGCAGCCTGGGATCCTTAGCAGCTCTCTTCTAGTTATTGTACTTTTGCAGTTCTTGGGGGCTTTGTGCCAAGAGTGTATTTTCCCTTCCTTGTGCCAACTCTTGCTCATTTTGACATTCTTCCTATGATTGGTCCAGCTGTGCTTTTTGTGTTTGGCACATGATAGTAAGCCATAGACACATAGCTTTTAAGCCAAAGGTCAGCATTATGCTATTTACCAAAGTCTAGGAGGCCATCACTTTATTGTTGTTTAATATTTAAGAGATAGGAGCCAATGAATGGTAAAGGTAAAAGAAGGTTTTGTTTTTGTTGTTGTTGTTGTTGTTTTTTTTTTTAAATGGATAGGCTTGTGTGCTTGGAAAGGCCAAGAGGTTTAATTTTCAAATGTTACCTGCTTTGGTGGTTGATTATAAAAGGAAAAAAAAAATTCTGTAGAAAACCATGAAAGTTAGGCAAGAGTATGTCAGTGTCACATTGATTAAAAAACAAACAAACAAACAAAAAAAAAAAACCACAAAGATGTTGGGTCTGATTTACTTTAGAATGGTATTGAGACTAGCCAGGAAAACAATTTGGAAAGAAAGTAGAGGATGTTATATTTTCTTAGCTATGAAAATGTATTTATTAAACTATAAATTAAAATAACAGTGTAGCCATTCATTTTAAATCTAAAAATTCGAATCTAAAAATAGGCCTTAAAATGAATTAATCTTTCACATAATTAGAGAAAGTACAGTTGCTTTACTGGGACAGAAAGCTAAATGACTGTCTAGAAATATCTCTTCCTCACTCTGTATGAGTAGTGAAGGTCTTGTAGTAAAGTTGGACATATTTCTACTTTTGGAAAAAAATCTTAGAAAAGATTTTGTAAGCATGGTAGTGATGGGCACGTTTGCCTGTGTGTTAAACTTTTGTGTTGAATACACAGCAAAAGTCTTATAAAAATCAGTGTATTTTGGAATTAATATACTATAAAAATAGATATTGCTGTGTAAAATACAGCAAAAGTACTATAGAAGTGTGAATCTAATGACAGAACAGAAGATAACTTGCAACAAGAAAATTCCCACAACACATAAAGAAATGCAGATCTAGCAGGACAGTGGATTTGCTAAAGTTTTAAAATACAGAAAGATGCTTAGCTTTCTCAAAGCACATAAAAATTACTTTTTAGGTTAGTGGCTATAAAATATCTATTGTGGTTAATATGTGTAGAAAGATGGCACTCATCTACATTTTAGGAGGAGGTATAAATTAATTAAACATTTCTGTAGACATTTGGCAATATCTACCAAAATATGTGCATATGTCTGTTGATCTAACAGATTGATTCACAGGCATTTTTCTCTCTCTTTTTGTGTGTGTGTTTGTAGAGGATATGTAAGAATATTCATCATGGCATCATAACAGTTTAAATGAAGTTTGGCTATCCACATAAAGAAATACTGTGAAGCCAATAGAAATATTTTGTCAAGGGAATAAAGATATAAAACTGTGATTTAAAGCATGGTGAGGAAGGAAGAATAATGGTAGAGAATACGAGGAAATGGACCGTGCACAGAACTCTTGGACTCTCCTCACCCAGGAGGCTGAGACAGGCAGGTAGATTGAATGTTCCAGGAAAACTTGGGCTTTAAGTCTCTGTCTCAAAAACAAAGCAAAGGCCAGGCATGGTGGTGCATGCCTTTCATCCCAGCATTTGGGAAACAGAGCCAGGCAGATCTCTGAGTTCAGGGCCAGCCTCGTCTACATACTGAGTTTCAGGACAGTTAGGGTTAAGATAGAGACCCTGTCTCAAAAAACCAAACCAAACAAACAAATCAATAAACAAAATAAAAAACAAAAGCTGGTGCTTGTGGAACACGTCATTCTTGTAATACCAGAACTCTTAATGCTGAGGCAGGGGGATTGAAAGTTTAAGAACTATTTGTGCTACAAAATAAATTCAAGGCCACCTGGGCAATGTAGTGAGTCGTTTTCTCAAAATAAAATGTGAAGAGGCTGGGATGTACCTGTCATAGAGTGTCTAACCTACCCTGGGTTTAGTTCACAGTATTGCCCCCAAAGGAAAACAGTTAGTTGTTGCTGAAAATAACATTTGGAGATTGGAGTTAGGACCTCCCCTGTTCATGTTGACTGTTTAAGCATGTGTGAGTCATGGGTTATTTGCCTTTGTGCCCATGTTGCCTGTTTAGCACTTCGGTTTGACTCCTGCACACCTCTAGCATTTGAGTGAGATGCTTTTACTTTAGGATTATCTGTAAGCCCGATCTCAGGCAAGATTAGCCATACATTTATATAGTACTGATTTCTGTAGCTTGTTTAGAAATATTTATCGATTAGTTTTGATGTCCTTTTACTTCATTGATCTTGAATTGATGCTCTGTAAGTTGGCAGAAACTACTCTGTTTTCTCACATTGTGTTGATGATTTTACTTTACCTTTCGTTAAACGAATGCTTTGCATAGTTTGATTTTGTTTGGTTAGAAAAAAAATGTTCAACCCAGCTCAGAGAAACTAACAGCTGTTTGTTTTGATCTGTTCAGATATGGAGGCCGTTCACTGCCACCTTTTATTTCCCTGTGGGTCCAGGAACTGGATTTCTTTATTTGGTCAATTTATATTTCTTATATCAGTATTCTACACGGCTTGAAGCAGGTAAGTTACCCATCATTATTTCAAGTACTGTTTCATTCTAATTTAGTAATTCAGTCTAGCTTAACATTAACTTGTATTTTTGAGGGCCATTAGCATTATATAAAGAAATGTATAATGATAGTTCTTGCATACTCACTGGTTCCTGACTGTATTAGACACTTAGACTATTTGAGGGTTTTTGCTGTTGTTGTTGTTTTTTTCTTTTGGAGACAGGGTCTCATTATTCTTGGCTAGATCCTGCTGACCTTCAACTCAGAGATCCACCTGTCTCTGCTTCCTGACTGCTGGGATTAAAGGCATACACCACCACACCCAGCCTGATTGAGTTTTTAATCACAGAATGAGTTACAGTTTGTAATAGAAGGAAATAACAGAGATCAAAATTTCTCTTGAATGCCTGTGCTGTGTTCTCACACTCCTGTCCTTGTCCTGGCAGTGTAAAGCTGGTCTAGAATATATGTGTCTGTTGGACTCAGGGTGAAGGGCAAGTCAGAGCTTAATCTCTTCAGGGTTAAAACACACAGCTTGGGGCTAGAGAGGGTGTAAGTGTGAGGGACCAGTTCAGATCCCTTCAGCTATGCAAATAAGCTGGGTGTAGTTTTGTGCACTTGCAGTCCAGGGCTGGGTTACCAAGACCCAAGGGTCCTGGGGACTCTCTCCCTAGAGGAGTCCGTTGGTACGCTCCAGTTTTAGTCAGAGGTCTTGCTCAGAAAATAAAGTGGTAAACCATAAAGGAAGACATTGACTGTTGACCTCCGACCTTTACACATGCACCATGGGCACCTGCATATGTACACATGTATATACTACATATATACATAGAAAACAACTTTATGTGAGGATTTGGTACCATGTTAGTTTTTTAGCTATAACTTCTTGTATATATAATGAAGAAGCAATAAAATGTTTTAAAACTGTCTTGTTGACTCATGTATTTTTGTTTATACAAGGGAGCAGTAAACTGATACTCTGTCAAAAAGGATACAGATATACTTTTGTGTAAATATTTGCAAAGGTTGACTGACCTCAGAGATTTTATAAAACTGCTGGCTCTTACTTAGGTCAGGCTTCTGAGTCATCCCGCAGTCTACCCAGGTATTTGAAAGTTATGACTCTGTCTTAACTTTCAGGGACAGATAAGATGGACATTTGCTGTGAAATACAACTTTTCCTTAAGTTGACATTGCTGTTTTGAAAAAAGAAGGAACTCATGATTTAACACAAAGCGTAGGGTAAGGTCCTAGACCATTCTTTGCAGAAGAGCAGAAGATTTGGGCCAGTAAGATAGTTCAGCCGGTAAAGGTGCTTGCCACCAAGGTTGACAGCCTGAATTCAATTCCCTGAAGCCCACATGGAGGAAGTGTAGAGCTGACTCCCAGCAAGATATCCTCTGACCTCTCCTTACATGTATGCTGGATTGTATACCCATACACATGCACACAGGCACATGCACACATGCATGAAGGCACACATGTGCACACAAATAAATGTGCTGGGACTCACCACCATACCAGGGCTTTCCTGTACCATATCAGGGCTCTCCTCCTATCTGCCTAGACCTGGTGTTCACTCTCCCTTGTTCAGCTCTTGATAGTAGTGCTGAGTATAGCTGAGTAGAGCAGTGAAGAACAGTAGTTCAGCATCGTACTCTTCTGGTTTACCTAAGTGACGATTAAGTTGTTGGAGTAGTATTTTAAATACCAGGTAAATTCTAGGTGAAGTAGTGATGATCCATGACAAGTTAGTGAAGCTTTTACTATGGAAAAATTTCTAACATCTATAGAGGTTTTTTTAGAAAAAAAAAAAAAAAAAAAAAAAAAAAAGATCAGTGAAACTGTGTGTGCCATTTCTTAGGCCAGTTTGTGACTGGCTTCTTTCACTCAGTGTTAGCTTTGTTATACTCACTCGTGTTACAGCTCACTGACATTATAGTATGTGTCCGTGTGAATCTCTGTTTTGACTGTCATCCGTCCATCACAATTCTCTCCTAGCAGGTCTTGTTTTGTCTGTGTGAGTGCCCGTCCCTCAGTTATTTGAAGCAGAATGTCACATACAGTTCTGTTCCACCCATCAGTAACCAGCATCTCTCCAAAGTCAGACCTTAAGGACTCAGATAGGAACTGCGATAGTTATGTGGCCACCTTCTGCTTTTGTTACTTATGTTCTTGAATCCATTTACCCACTTTATTAACCTGGTTAGATAACACCAGCTGCTCTGTAATATTTCGTGGAGGAGTAACAGGTAGGAGAAACCTGTGTTATTAGACCCCTCGTTGCTCTTGTTTGCTTTTATCCTTAGGAGTTGCTTCCCTTTCTTTTCAGTCAGAGCATTTTTGAAATGCTCAAGCTGAGAGGCATTTTTGAGACAGTTTTCTTTGAGATAAAAATTTGCTCTGTAGGGCTCTGTGTCCTGAGTCAACTGCTTGAAAAATTGAAACTATCTGGAAAATGAGTCTACTGAATTTGTAGTTTTCCCTCTTGTCATTATTTCCTAAACAACACATTGTAGCAGCTGTTTACATATAATTTACATTGTAAATGGGACCATAAGTAATGTGATCTCTTTTCCACTATGTGTCAGAGTTTGTATGTTCTATGCAAATACTATACCAAGGAGCTCTTAGACCTCATCTTCCATAGATACCAAGAGAAGATGGTAATCCACATCCCATCCAGCTTCCTCATTTCAGTTTAAAGGGCACAGTTCAGTTAGTATGTATATAGAATTGTACAACCATTATCATAATCAGTTTCTAACATTTCTTTGCCCCTAAAAGTCTGTACCTGTTCGTATTGCCCATTTCCCTTCAACTCATCCTCCATGTAAGCCATAGGAAACTACTAGTTTCTTTGTGGCTCTTTAGACTTGCCTGTAACCGTAATTTCTTGTAATAATTCTGATAGGATCATACCATTTATGGTCTTTTGTGGCTGTTTTCTTTTACTAAGTATCATGTTTTTAAGGTTCTTCTGTATAGCATGTAGTTGTAGTTCATTCCTTATTATTGTCAAATTAGATACTGTTGTGTTCTGTTCATCCATTAGGTTGGTGGCACTTGACTTTTAATTCATTTTGTGGCTGCTGGGACACGTTACTGTGAATATTACTGTAGAGAAGAATTTTTGGTACCATCCCATTTAACCCTCTTTCGCAGATAGGAACAGTTGTCCAGAGTAGTAGTGGTCTTATAGCCCAGAGGTCACAGCTATTTAAGATAGCACAGCTGGGACTGGAAGCCATTTGACTGGTTTTCATTTTCTTTGCACTCCACAGCCTTAAGTTATATGCCACCTACATACTTTCCTGCCTTGCTGATTAAGAATGAAGCAGTGTTGGCATCAGAGGTTTCTGATTTGCCCTGGAAAACCACAATTTAGGACCAATTAATTTTAAGTTCCTAGTTGCTGGCACGCCAGATAATACAGCACTACAGTTTATGTGATCACAGTGTCTTAAATATTCAGTAAAGAATCTTTAGAAATCACAGAGCCAGACCACTGAAAAAACACGGCTTCTTTTCAAGTTCAGAAGTTTGTTGGAATCTCAGCTATAGTTCATTACAGTGAGCTTTGAACATAAGCATCCTTAACACAGTGGCTAAAGTGGGCCCTTGAGGGAGGTAAGAGAGAGAAACAAAGGAGAGTAGGAGATGCATGCTGGAAATTTCTCCTTTCTCTTTCCATCCTTTTACACCTTCTGTCTTGAGAAATAGGGCCTGGCTTTATGTAGCCTAGGCTGCTTAGGCTGGCCTTGACTTTGAGATCCTCAGCTTCCTGAGTCCTGGGATTACATGTGCACACTATAAAGCATGTCTTTATGCCTTTCTTCGTCACATCTATCCTTCTGTCAGAAGTTTCTGATACTTGTTTCAGGGGCTCTAAGGAATTGACTACTTGTCTATGACTTGTAATGTTATAGAGTGTGGAGGAGAGATATAGCTTTTGAGCTAGAATGGCTTCTTATTCATTTTTGTATCTTCTGCTTCTCTTACGATCTCCTGACTGAGGTGTTACAAGTTGTCTTTAGACCAGTGAGCTGGACTGTTTTTTGGTTTTTATCTTTAGGAATAAAACACTCTTCTATTTGTTTGTTTGCTTATTCTTTTCTTTTTAAATTTACTTTACATCCCAAGGATGCCCCTTCCTCCTCTTTTCCCAGTCTCCTGTCTCTACCGCTTTCCCGTTCCCCTCTCTCTTTCCCCCAGAAAAGGGGAGCTTTCCCCCATATCAACCTTCCGCAGCACATCAAGTCACATCAGGACTGAGCATATATTCATCCCCTGAGGCTAGGCAAGGCAGCCCTGCCAGGGGGAAGTGATCCAAAAGCAGGCAATGAGTCCATGTTAGAAACAGCACCCCCATCCTCCTCCATTCGCCAGGCACCCTATATGAAGACCCAGCCTCCCACCGGCCACAAATGTGCAGGGGGCCTAGGTCCAGATCATGCGTGCTCCTTAGTTGATGTTTTCAGTCTCTGTAAGCCCCCGTGGCACTGGGTTAGTTGTCTCAGTTGGTCTTCTTGTGAGGTTCCTGTCCCCTGTAGGTCCTTCCATCTTTCCCTCAATACTTCCTCCGGAGTTCCGTCCCATGCTTGGCTGCAAGTCCCAGCATCTTTCCCAATCTGCTGCTGGCTGGAGTCTCCCAGACGACAGTCAAGTTAGGCTCCTGTCTGCAAGCATAGCAGAGCATCATTAGCAGTGTCAGGGGCTGGCTCTCTACTGTAGGGTGGGATTCAGGTTTGGCCAGTTATTGGTTGGACTTTCCCTCAGTCTTTGTTCCCTTGTTATCCCTGCACTTCTTGTAGGCAGGGTAATGTTTGGACCACAGGTTTTGTCGGTGGGTTGTTGTTCCCTTCCTTCTATTAGTCCTGCCTGGCTAAGAGGTGCTCACTTCAGTCTTCATGTGTCCTCCCCACCCCTATTAGGAGTCTCAGCTAGAGTCACACTCATGTCCTCCCAGGAGCCTACCCTGTCACTGGCCTCTAGGAATAAAACACTCTTATCAATGGTGGAGTGACAGGACACTAAACTAGTCATTACCTCTACTCTGCTTCAGACAAGCACATGACTTGGACATGTGGCTTTATTTTTTTTCACTTTTATGTAATGGGTCAGAGGTCTGTCCCTTGTACCTCACAGACACCCTATGGAGAGGCCTGGCCACTCCTTTGTCTATCTCTCTTCACATTTTCTTATTCTAGAATCTAGGCCAAGCCCTGGAGTAGAGGCTGAATCTGCTCAGTATCTCATCCCAGGGCTGGACAAGTGGTTCTGCATCTGTCCAGTGTAATACTGACAACAGCAGCAGCTAACACCCCTGATAAAGTAATGGGCTCCCAGTAGTTAGGCTGCAGGAATGACAGTGGTAGCTAAAATGGACAAGGCTCCTCACAAGCGTTAATCTAGAAGGGAGAGACAGGAGTTAACCAACTATCAGAACCATATGCATTAGATTATGCTAGGACCATGAAGGAAAAGCCATGGTCCTAGCTCGTGAGGGAGTTGAAAGGGCCTCTCTGGTGTCTGGAATAAAGCTGTGTATTTCTGAAATTGACTGTCCTCCCTTTGGGTCTATTTTAGCCCTTTTATTGCCATGAGATACACTTTAGTAAAAGTTCACTTTTCTTTTAAAAAGTGATGTTAAACGTTTTCAATATGATTGTTTTGAAGTATTTTTCCCTGTAGATGCTACTTTCTTCCCCAGTTCTGACCCTGATGTTTGTCCTATGTTTGTTTCTAGGAGCTTTTGATGGGAGGCCGGCAGACTATTTATTTATGCTTCTCTTTAACTGGATTTGCATCGTTGTATCCTTGAGTGCTATTTTGGGCCAGAAATGAGATCCCTGTGCCCTTTTTTAAGGTTTTGGGAAATAGTATTCTATAAATATATTTAAATCAGTTTTTATACCGCATTAAAAAACATAGTTAATAATCAAAGTAACGGAGATACTTTTTTAAAGCTAGGGTAAATCCTAGATTTTGAGGATGCGTCCTCTTGATATTGCTTCTGAAAATTTTCCATATTCAATTTAGTTTTATTGTTCGCTCTTTGAGTCTAGTTCTCTGTGTTCTTTGGGACGACAGTTTGTCGACTGAAGCACAGAGACTCCACACCACAGACAGCTTTTGAAATCTGTGGTTCTTATCAGAAAAATAATTTACAACTGGCATTATTTACTGACTTTATTGTTGTCCATCTTTTGATCCTGAATAATAATCTAGTCCATAAGGTACCCCAGTTGGATCTTAGTCTGTCTCTCTGTGAGGCACAGTTGATAAGCAAACAGTTGGACCTGACAGCTATTTAAAGTTGGCCAAGAGCCAGAGGGTGGGATACACCCTCTCCTTTAAAAGAATGGAATTGAAAAAAAAGGTTTTGTGTTATCCCTGAGTCCGAGCAGGATCATCATTTGTTTCAGAGGTACAGCTTTTTCTATCCTGTACTTGAATGCCAAATGTTAAAACAGTAGATAACCAGAAGATAACCAGCTGACCAAGTCATGCTGCACTTGTTCATTTCTGTGTCTCCCGCTCTACTGTACAGACTAATGGGAGACTCATGCAGAGTTATCAGAATTTTTGTGAGCTCCTGTGTCTTAAGTAATCTGATTGATAGAAAAGTGTTCTCTGGAGCAGTGTAAGGAAATTCCACTGGAGGACAATAATCAGATCAATCTTGGTATCTATAGAACACTTTCTACGTATCATCTTTAACTTGACAAATCAAGATTACTGGCTTAGTCATGGATATGCAGGCAAGTCTTTCAACTATTTGCTCTTTTGTACATTTCAGAAGTTGGGGTTACATTGAACATATAGAATGATACCTACGATTCTTTTGAATATACTGTTAGCTAAGCCTTTGAGGCTCTTGTAGGCCTTATCTAAACCATTGTCTTCCTTGTTCATTTCTGGCTTATGCTTGAATACCCAAAATGATGGTTTTGCAGTATTTCTGGGGCATATGGAAGGTTCTGTATTCTTTGAAAACAGATTATATGGTTAAGCCCCCCCCCTTTTTTTTCCTAAATAAGAGCTTGAACTGATGTTTCTGACATCGTGTAAAAACATAATTGTATTGATTATAGATTTTTATGGCATTCATTGTATGATAAGTAATGTGGTTAGTTTGTAATTCTGATCATTAGAGTCTCCTTTGCAGACTTTTGGCGGGTGGGCAGTGTATACAGTTCACACTAAAGCCTTGTTAACTGCTCCTGGAGCCGAGGCTCATCATCTTGACCTCATTTGCAGCTGCTGATGATTCCTCTGATCATGTCGGTACTTTACGTCTGGGCCCAGCTGAACAGAGACCTGATTGTATCATTTTGGTTTGGAACACGATTTAAGGTACTTTGCTTCAGTGGAACAAAACTCAGTTTTTGTCTTTGTGGTAGTGTCTCCTAATCTCAAATGTGTACCTTCTGACACTTCCAGAAGAGGTCACTGCAGAATTGTACAGTATAGGCAGGTGCCTTTCTCCCCCTCCTCAGTTCTGCTACTAGCCATTCCAGTGTCCCTTACTGTGATTACTTCCAATTCCTTCTGAACCTCAGGCTCTTCAGGGATATGTTCCTCAGTGATTGTGTGTGTGAGTGAGAGAGAGAGAGAGAGAGAGAGAGAGAGAGAGAGAGAGAGAGAGAATGAGCACATATTCTAATCTTTTTGTCACCCCTGTACTCTATATTAGGTGCTACATATTTTATCCAAACTGGCACCCTCAAATGCTGCCCTGAGCTTACTATTTTCTAACTGTAATGTCCTACTCATTACAGATCTGAACATTGCTTGAGTTTCCTGCCTGGAGTAAGACTTGTCTAGGCTGTGAGCTTTTGCAGTACTTACCTTAGTTAGACTTATAGCTACTATGTATAAGCTTCTTTTTTACTAGTTTCTGACTTTCCCTTGAAGATCACTCAGCCTAAGTTTGTTCCAGGGTTTCAGATCTGGAAAGCAAATGTCTTGTTGGGAGACTTAGTTCAAGACATCCACGTACCATGTTACATAAAAATACAAGTCAATTATTTTTAACAGTTGGTTGGAATCTTAGAGTGATTCTGTTTGGAGTGTTTTTACTGTCACCCATAAGATACTTTGTTGTGTCTTTGTTAATATGAACGCAGCATTTGAAAGATCTCCTTTCTTGCAGTTACAAGTATACAAGCCACATGTCTTCAAAGTGGCTGTTCATATTTGTGTCCTCTCTCCTAGGCCTGTTACTTACCTTGGGTTATTCTCGGATTCAACTATATTATTGGAGGCTCGTAAGTAATGCTAGATTTATTTATTTGGAAACTAATTCTTGGGAAACTTAATTCATCTTTATCTTCCCTTTGTAGTTTCTTAAAGACTTTAAAGACTGAGGATTGATATGCTAGAACCTTATAAAGATATTTGGAATATAATTGGTTGCATTGTAGCACCTTTGACACTGGATGGCTATCATTTTGTTAGCTTGTCACTAGGTACATTGTGTTTCTAGACCTTTGAGTACATATGCTTCTCTGGATTCAGTATCCATACTGAGCAAATAGGGAACTCATTTGCCTTGATTCCTCTTAGGACCTTATCTATAACATTACTGTGTTATTTGTTTCTAAGACACTTCCAGCACGCTTTATTAATGCCTTGCTGTTCTAGAAATGGAGTCTCAGATAAGACGTACTCTTGTCTTATACATAGTTTGATGGATAGAACTTGTGTCAGGCTGGGTCAGATTTCTACTCTCTTGGTCTGTAGTTAGTACTGAGATGTAGGAAAACCTCTCATGTTCCAGTCTAAGTTGCGAGAGAGGCCATATAGAAGGAGCTGCCCTGGGCTGGAGAGATAGCATAGTGTTTAAAGCATGGATTGCTCTTGCAGAGGACTTAAGTTTGGTTCCCAGCACCCAAGTTGGGCAGCACACAGGTGCTGGTAACTTAAGCTTCAGGGGTGTCTGATAGCTCTAGCCCCCTAGGGGACTTGTACCCATGTTGTACACACACATAGGCATGGACATACAATTTCAAGTAATTTTTTAAAGTCTTTAAGAATGAGAGGAACTTTCCTCTGTCTGGCATGGTGGCACATGCCTTTAATCCCAGCTCTTGGGAAGCAGAGGCATGTGGGTAGCCTGGTCTACAGTGTGATTTCCAGGACAGGCAGGACTACATAGCTGGACCCTGTCTCGATAACACCAAAATAAAACAAAAGAAAGAATGAGAACTTTCTTCTTAAAAAACAAAACAAAACAAAAAAACCCACACAGAAACAAAACACAAGCTAGAGATACTTTGAGCGCTCTGGTTTCTTACATTACCAAATATTTTCAAGAGTGCTATTCCTTCATATAGCTGATGTAGTTGACCTGTAAGGTCCTTACTCTTCCTGTGTATTTACAGAGAGAAGTGAATGAGTAGACTGAACAAAAGGACTCTGTAGAGTGTAGCACCTTTTGAGATTGGTAAATCTCTCCGCCACCCACCAGGGCAGAGTGTGGGGAAGTTACAAGTGCTCATCTGCTCAGGCAAGAATCACATTATGAGTAGAGATGAAGGATGTGTACTAGCACCATGGAACGTGAGGTGACTGTGTGAGCCTTGAGAAACCTGAAAGAGTCAGTGCTTATTTTAGGATGCAGGGCAAAGCCCAGCTTTCCTAAGTGATCTCTGTGTGTCTCATGTCAGTGTCAGGGAGGCAAGAGAGGTTAGAATCACAGCTCCAGAAATGGAAGAGCAGTCATTTGTTGTCCATCTTTCTCCCTGCCTGTGCTCTTCTCCGGGTAGTTTGCATATTTGTCTGGTTTACAAATGTGTGTGAAGGCAAGAGCTCAGGACCTAACTTGATTTGCATATTCCTTATCTTCTGAGAGATGCTGGAACAAAATTCATGTTTTGAGGGTGGGTTGGGGGCTTGGAAAAGACATCAGAGGTACTTCCAGCCTTGAAGAGCTGAGTCCTCCTTATTTCTTCAGGCCTGAGTTCCCTCTCACTCAGAATACATTTGTCACTCACACCGTAAAAGGGCCCATTGTAGAGCTGTCGCTGCCTCCCCAGGACTGTATTAGACTACAGTGAAGGCAGCTCTCTTTCCCATGCTCTTGGTTACAGCTTGCTGCAGCTCACTTTGTTGCCTGGATGTCTTTGCACTGACTTGACTCTCTTTGCAGGGTGATCAATGAGCTCATTGGAAACCTTGTTGGACATCTTTATTTCTTCCTGATGTTCAGATACCCAATGGACTTGGGAGGAAGGAATTTCCTGTCCACACCTCAGTTTTTGTAAGTTTTTCTCCTTTCTTACTGAACAGTGTGCTGTTCTGTGGTTTCAAGTTTCCTGATAGAAATTTCGTGAGGAGCCGCTTTCCTGCCTTTTCTCAGGGAGAAATGGGAGCCAATTAAGTTCTGACTGTGGTCACAGTCAGGAAGCCAGGGATTGGCGCCATATAGTTCAGTCTCTTTCATGACATCTTCTAGTTAAAGGTCACTGACTAGATTAAGCCATCACAAGAAGACATCATGTATCCTGAGCAGACTGTGGACATGATGCTACCTCAGAGCGCCGCATTGGGGGACAGGCGGCATAAAGGATGACAGGACATTGTTCCTTAAAACACTGGATTCACCCATAATGTTGGCTAAGTAAATTAGTTCATTATTTGCAATTGCAAAAATGTGGTGTTTTTAATAGGGGTGGGATCCCTGCTGGTATAGCTCAGGCTACCCTCAAATTCTGCATCCTTCTGCCTCAGTCTCCCAAGTGCTCTAACCATAGGAGTGCTACCCCTGCCTGGTTTAAACTTTCATGTATTAAATATTATAGACTAGAATTTTGTAGATTGAGTAAAGTTAAAATGAGAGATGTGAGATTTGTGTAGTAGTCACAACTCCCTATAAATGGGTGCCTGCTTGTTTTATTCTTTTAGAGTTCATTAAGTAGAAGAGGCCAAGGGGACCAGATATCAGTACCTTTGTATATTGCTTTTGATACCGGTGGATTTACTTATTAAAACTTCCAGCCTTTGGTTGCTAAGTCTGAGTTGAAAGGCTGACCCTATCTCACAGGACTGGATAAAGCAAGGCTCATAGTGGCAGGTTGTGGATTAATGGCATAGTACTGGGAGTTCTGGGTTAATACAAGTCATGTGCCCAATGTCTTGGGGAGGGCTGGTGGCTGAGAAGAGATGCTCAGACACTCAGTCTGTAAGTAGCATAACCATTCTGTCAGTGCAGCAAAAGGCTGTTAAAGAGGGACCAGTTAAATCACCGTCTGGGTCTCACAGCCTTTTTGACAACAGTCACACCTAATCTACTGAAATAGTCACTTGCATCTAAGAGTTTAAAAATCACCCGCCTTTGAATCAAGATATTATTTCAATGTTTGCAGTTGCTTTGTTTCCAAGGACTAGGTGAGGGCAGGAACACTTTAGTGGCTCTCCCCGCCCCCTTTAATTCTGGGCAGGTTAGGTAGGGTATGTTTGTGGAAGACATTTGATTATGAACTAGAATCAGAGAGATCCAATGCTTGTTTGTTTGTTTTTAAAAGAGAATAAAAAGAAATTTGTTTCTCTTTTGTGCCTGGGGTTGCCTTCAGGCTCAAAAAACAAATGACCAATCTGTTTTCTAATTACCAAAGGACACAATAGCAGCAGGTTTGGGTTTGTGGTCTACGTTTATCAAGTAGGTTGGCAGATGCATCAGCTTAAAAAAGCCTGTGCTCTGGGGACTAGCCAACAGTTAATGTTACCTTAAATGGCTATTTTCTGATTTAACAGCTTACAGATATTTTTGAATTGTGGACAAAAGTGTGGAAAATTCTAATGGCAAAATCGGCAGTTCACTGGCGCCTGCCTTCCACTTCAGCTTTCGCTGTTGGTGGATGCCCTTCTGTTAAATTTTGCATAAAGATCAGATGGCAAAATGTAGCTCCTTGCAAAAGCAGTAACTGCTTTGGAATTACCATAAATTTTTGTTGATTATGTATAATTGGGTGTCTTTTTATTCTAATTACTGGCATTTCATTTCACTCTCAGCTTAAGCAAGAGAGCTGGCTTCTATATTGTCTTCAGTATGCAGTAGATTGAGACAGCCCTAGTGCCGTTTTCAAGTGCTGGATTTTAGTATGTACTTTAAAGGAATATTATTGTATGAGATGTCATAGATGTTGACAGTTTGGCGCCTGGAAATGACACTTCAATTTAATGATAAAACTGTATTTTATTTTATTTTTTAGTTTCTTAGAGAGTTTTGCTATGTGGCTCCTGAGGGGTAGTGGTTTGTCATCTTGCCTCAGCCTCCCAAGTGCTGGGATTATAGGCGTGTGTCATCATGTCTGGACAAGTATTTATTTAAGAGAGGAGTTAACTTACAGATTTCTAAAATAATCCATATTTCTGTATTCTATTTAAAAAGCAGCTATATCTTTTCTTCTGTAAAGTTTTTCAACAGTTAATTTTCTGTTTATAAAGGAGTCATTCTCTTTTTTGGGAAGGAGGATGAATGTATTAAAAATGTTACAAATTGATGCCAGCTACTAACTGTTGTTACAACAGTAGTACCAACAGTTGTAGCAGAGGCTCCAGGGCATATAGATACTAGCTTTGAGGCAGTGGGCCTGGGCTTGATTACTGACTGTTATTACTGAAGAACTTCACTCAGCTTTGCCTCCATTTTCTTGTTGATTTAATAAACTTCATAGTTGGGAACGATAGCACATGTCTCTAATCTTAGATACTTGGATGAAGCCTGAGATTCTACAGTTCATGGCCAGCCTCGGCAACTTAGCGGGACCTTGTTGCAAGAATATGTACAGAAAGGGGCAGTGAGCATAGCTCAGTGGTAGAGTGCTTGCCTAGCATTGCTGAGGTTTTGGGTTTTGCCATCAGAGCAATCAAAAAGGAAAAGAAAAATGTGTATGTGTGCATGTGTGTTTGTAATATTGTTACCTAATCACTGTGACAATCCAGTGAATTTCTTAACATGGTGTAGCGCGGGTGCCCCTTGAATAGTAAGCTGCTTAGTTTTAGGTTGTACTGTTGGCTGATGACTCAAGAAGTCACTTGTCATGACTTACTCTGATGCAAAGGGTTTAAAACCAGGGTATCAGTTTACATCCCTGCCTTCCAGCAAAAGTTTAAGCTTCAATACCCTATAAATAAAATAGTTTCAAATACATTGTCAGTTTACTAATAATGCAGACAGTAAAGAAGAGTAACATTTATCTTCACTTGCAAAAATGTTACTGAGAACAAAGACATGGGTTGAAGTTTTGTTAGCCATCCTTTGACACCTGGTTTATTAATTTGTAAGGTGAGAGATCATATGACCTTTTCGGGCATTGCTGCTGGACTGTCTGAGATGGGAAGAATGCAGTTAGAAAGCAGGTGATGAGTAAACTAGAAATACACCCATAGTTTCAAAGCAGAAAGCCTTGTGGCCCAAACGTCTCAGCCCAGAGCTGAGCTCTATGGGCTCAGAAATGCTGCTTGTGGGTTATTTTGAATTCTTTGATCCTGTCTGACCTGTATGCTGATATACCAAGAGCCATCGGTGGTTCTTGCTGATTGTTGGGCTGTGGCTGTAATCTTTTTGTTTCCATATTGCTGTGCATGAATTACTTTTATAATCCGTTGGGGGGAAATGTGGAGAGCGTGAATTTAACTGAAAGCTTGATAAAATTAAGAAACATGAAAAACAAATGCCATCTGTGGTCGGGGCATTGCACTAAGTGCTGAAAAGGAGCTAAATAAGACTGTCTCTGGTCTCTTTCCGTGAGACAAATGCCTGGAACACCCAGGAGAGGGAGATGTTTTAAATGACTGGAACTGGTGTACACGTGACTTTGTTCTCATCTTTGTCTTTTTTCTTGTCTCTATTCCAGGTATCGCTGGCTACCCAGTAGGAGAGGAGGGATGTCAGGGTTTGGTGTGCCCCCTGCTAGCATGAGGCGAGCTGCTGATCAGAATGGCGGAGGCGGGAGACACAACTGGGGTCAGGGCTTCCGGCTCGGAGACCAGTGAGGAGCAGCCCCTGGCCTGCCCACCAGCCATGCTAAGCAGATGACAGTTTCCTCCCAGTGCTGGGCACGCTTAATGGCCGAGTTCTTGCTGCCGCTCTTGGACCTAACCCACACTGAATGTAGTCTTTCAGTACAAGACACATTTTTAAATCCTGAAGGAAAATACAAGTGTTCTCAAGTTTCATGATTCTCATTCAAGTCCTTACCGCTATGAAGAACAAATATCAGCTGTGCAGATTTCAAAACTGACTCATTTTCTGGTGTCTTCTCTTCCTCCCCTTCCATCTGAATAATGGGCTGGGCAAGTGGGATTGATTAACCAAGTCATGCCAGAGGGTCCTTTCCTTGCTCACACCCACATCCCCAGAGATGTGCCTAGAGTTGTCCGAAAAATTGGTTTTGCCTTTGACAAACTCTTATTTATTGACTTTTGCCAAAGCTTGGTCACAGAGCTTGTCGCATGTCATTCTCGCTGTCAGCAGCAGGATGGTAACAGTGGGGAGAAGACTGGCACAGCGGAGGGGGAGCTTTCTTAGCCATGGGGCCTGCACCAGCCTGTCAGCAGTGCCGCCATTTGCCGCCTTCACAGATACTTTATACAAAAAGAACCAGTCAGTGAGGGCCCAGATTGGGAACTGAGTTTTAGGAGTTGTTGCTAGGCACTTTTCTCCCCTTAAGCCAAGTGATCAAAAGCATAGTGGACTTGCTTCTAACTCAGAGGATGGGTTTAAATATGATCCCTTTGTGTTTCTTCTGTGGGGTGAACTGGCTTTGTGTAGCCAAAGCAGTTGTGCCAGGCTGTGTTGTGTTAGGTTCCAAATCACATTGGCCAGACAGATGTCCCTGGCGGCAAGCTTCGGGGCATTCATTCATTTTACCTTCATTGTGGATGTGTGGTCATTGAGTAAGTGGAGGCGAGAGTGTTGGACTCTAAAGTTTTCTTCCGTTTGTTGTTGTTGTTGTTGTTGTTTTTGTCTCTTAACTTTTTTGGTCATTAACTTTTCTGTTTATGGTGAGGGAAGTACAGCCCTTCAGATATGTGTCGATCAGTTTTTAAGGTAATACAGGCACATCTGAATAAGTCACTCATAATTAGAGGTTCCGATAGCTTTAGAATCATTCATGTGTGAAGGTCTTTATTTTCTTGGGTCCTGCATGTATACACTTTGTGGATCAGCCCTACTTCGTTTTTATAGGTGGGCTTTTGCCAGCAAAGCTCGGCTTATCACTAAATAAAGTTTTCTGAAGGCTACAGTGCTTTATATAGTTACTTTCTGTTTTTATCTGAAACCAGACTGCTGGGAGCAGTGTGGTGTGGCCGCTATGCTCTGAATGATTTTCTGATACCTTGACTTTTGCTTTCAGGAAATGTGCCCTAACAGTATGACTTGTCGTTTTCTGCTCATTAAAACTGTGATGTATGCTATATTAGGAAGTGGGAGTTTGATAAAGAGCTCCTTCTTTTTCATAAGTTTGTGTCCCTCTCCATATTTAATTTATATGATAAACTATTGGGTTGAGAGAGGCCGAGCCTAAACCGTCTGGTTCTCCTGCTGACCTGAGGCTGTGATAAGATGTGTTTGTAAGATTCCAGACGCCACCCTCCCTGTGGCATTACAGGTGCACTCCTGGGCAAGGTGGAGGCTGGAAAGGACTCCAGTGAGAGAGCAAGAGATTCTTTCATGCTGTGACCAGGCTGGCTCCTGAGAGCGCTGGCTTTCCTAAGGGTCTGCGGGTATGAAGAACTTTTCTGTGCAAGCAAATGTTATTAAACTCTTTCTCCTGAACGTGGTTAGGACGCTGATAACTTTATTATCTTGCCTGGTCCTTCCGGGATAGTTTTACCAAAGTGAGCTGTTTGAGTATTGACTTCACAAGGTAAGACATCACAGTGGGTTCTCATTATGAATGTGAAAAAAAACCTTATTTTGTACAGACAGCTTTCCTTTTTGTAACTAATCCTTTTTACTGGTGAATATTGTAAATTAAAATGTGCAACTTGAAGGCTGTCTGTGTTAAGTTTCCGTACCTCTGCTGTGCTGTGTTATATGATGTCATTTATGTTACTGTCTTCACTGGATCAGTTTTATGTGATCTCCAGTAGATTTTGATTAGCAGGACACAGCAAGCCTTTTTGTATATGATTGTTGTTCATATATTAGAGAATGTCTGAATTCCTGGAAGAAATAGTACTGAGTTTTCTTTTGTGTGTGTGTGTGTGTGTGAGAGAGAGAGAGAGAGAGAGGGAGAGAAGTGTATGTGAGTATGTGGGGGGGGGCTATGTGGGTGCCTGTCTGTGAATGAGAGATTGAGTATGTGTGTGTGTTTGTGTGTATATTGGGTTTTGGTGCATAGCCCAGACTGTCTGCAAACTTGGAGTCTTCCTGCCTCAGCCTCCCAAGTTTAGTCATATACCACCACCGTTGGCTTGTGTTTTTATTTAATGAAGCAGGGTGCTTCCACATTTTAGGTTAGGAGTCACAGCTGGCGCAGTGCTTTATGGCATCTCTGTAGCTTTCACCTATGAATATGAGTTTCCGAACTGTAAAATTAGATAAACTCTTCCTTACCCAAGAACCCCAGACTAGAATGCACCTGCTGTGCTTTCATCTTCGAGGAGAGCAGGTTGAGTATGGCTACCTGGTCCTGTGATGCACTTATCCCAAGATAGGTCAGCACCAGGGCCTGGGCGCACTCCTGGCTGGGCACTCCCTCTAGTAGAGAAATAACAGAACAAGAAGGAGCGGCCCTGTTTATTTGGAGAGACAGGACACTGTCAGTAACATGACAGTCTGAGCTACCTTTGAGTAGCAGTAATAACAGGCAGGGTCGCAGTTGCCAGCATCTTCATTGCCAACTGTGTGAGGTCCTACATTTTTCAGTGGTAACAGTACTGGATAAGGAAACTTGTCAACCCTTAGGAAGTGGTACACGCCTTTCTGGGCTTTTCACAGGTGGTGTTTTCAAAGCCTGGCCTGGGCAAGCGTGCTTGCTATCGGTTTACTTGTTTGCTTTCCAGAGTGACTCTGGATTGGGACTGGGGAGACACCGTGTCCTGTGACTCCTTTGGTGTGTGCACTCGCCAAGGTGTTTCCCTTCTCCCAAATCAGTTGTTATGTTCTCTCCTATCTGTCCTGACAAGTTCATGTCTGTATTCAGTTGTATTTCATTATGAATATTTTAGTACTCTGTGGCTTCCTTTCTGACATGAGAACCATTTGGGATTTGGGGGAAAAGTAATTATCTTGTGTCATGTTTTTTCTACATGTTTTTAAAGTTCCTGGCAATTCTGATATTCAGTTGGCTTTGGGAGCCAGTGTTTAAACCAACTTCTTTTTCTTTAATTAAATGTGTTCTTTTGATAATTTTATATATATATGTGTTTGTATATTACATTCTGATTACTGTCACCCCATCTACTCTTATCTCCCTCTCACACCTAATACCAGCCTACAAGGCTTTCACACATTCATGGAGTTTGGTTTTGTGACCCAGAGTATAACCAGGGCTGCTTGTGTGTTTATAGGTTTGCTGTGGTTCACTAGAGCGTGGTGCACTCGTCAGTGGGCACACATTTTAAGAGAATGTCTGTTCTCCCCTAGAATGCATCAGTAGTTCATAGTTCAGTGGGGAAAGTAGGGTCACATGGGTCCCTTCTTGATCTGTGCCCAGGCTAGTGCAGGCCCATTACTGGCAGCAGCTGCTGCTGTGAGATCATGATTGCAACGCTGGGTCAGACCCACACAATCAGTTTCATAGGTCTCCCTATCTTGCAGTTCCTACGTTCTTCCTGTGTTGGTCCTGGAACTTTAGAAGGAGTGATACGGATGTCCTGTTGAGAGCTCCACCCTGGACTGTAACTTAGTATCTTGAGTAACTTTTTGTTTGCTACATTTCATTATAAAGTTTTTTTAGAGAGCAGCTTGATACTGTGTCATTTTAGCTAAACAACAGTGGTGAGTTTTCCCTGTTGTACCAGACTTCAGCCTTGAGTTTTTAACTGTTGACAGTGCTAGGCATGTATTCCTTCATGAGGAGTGGACCTCAAGACCAGTCAGAGTGTTTTAGTTGCCGTATAACAGCTATACCATAACGACACTAACGGGCACATCTTACTTGGCAGCCTGGTGCTAGAGTTGGTAGATTTGTTTAACTGGGTAAGGCCACCCTCTCATCAGTTTACATTGCATCTCCTGGTACTCTGAAAGCTAGCTGGCAAGGAGGAAACCTTCAGCTCAGATCCAGGTTGAGTTCTCTGTATCGTATACGTGATGTATGTGGTGTATTCAGCCATAGGGTCTTATCAACTAGTCCTGGGTGGCAGCCAAGAAGAACTGTAAGAACTTATATTGTATTGGAGACTTCTGGAGCCTCCCTGATCAACAGGTCATAAGGAGGTACGCCATACTTGGCACTAGGGCTTTACTTTGATAACTCTTAGCTGTTTAAGCATTATTTAGCCATGCAGGATTATCACCCTCCGAACTCTCATAGTTTTCACTTGGCTAACAAAGTAGTAGGTTTCCATATGGCTTTTTCCTGTACACTTCATTCTATAAATCAATTTTTGAAGTATTTTTCTGCGTAAGGAAAGAGTCAAAGATTTAAGTTATGCAGCTAAGTGCCAAAAACAAGAACCTAACATTAAGTACCAAAGCAGATGCCTGCAGGACATGGCCTGCCTTCAGGATGTATGCTTTGTACTGAGGCAATCCACTTGGCCACTGTAGATAATCCCATATTTGTTATTTAACAGACACAGTTACAGTTGAGCAAGCTGCCAGAATGGAAATTTTAGGAAAGAGGATCTTTGTGTTGAAGAAGGCAGTTGTAGGCCAAGGTAGAAGTCATTTGTTCTGGGTAGAGGCACTAGCAAGAGTAACAACAAAGGTAAGATAATTCCGAAGTTAAACTGCATCATTTGCAGTTTAACTTGTGTAGCATCATTTGCCTGTAATCCTGGTGTTGGGATACAGAGATTTGAAGCTCATTGACCAGCCAATGTGGCCTAATTGATATGTTTCATGTTGAAACACTTGGTGGAGTATAATCAAGGAATCAAAGAGGCCAACGTTTGGCCTCTACACACATGGACACAACTGCATGCTTAAGTGCACATGCCCATACTAACAAGTACAGTACACAGTCCACTTTAGAACTAGACTTTAGAACTAGAACTTTAGAACGAGACATGTAGAAAACATGTATGGCTGGGGAAAGGCTGAGAAGGAAGATGGGGACCTAATGTCTTTTGTTGCACAGTTTGAACTGCAGTCTTTAGGCAATGGTGAACTATTGAAAAACCAAATTCAGCAGAGGGAGATAGGAGGAAAGGTTAGGGAAAGATGCAAAAGACAAACTGGCCAAATGTTGTGTTGGTGACTATGATGCAGTTTATGACAGGGCTTGATCTGACCCAAGGCACTGGGAACTGGGTGAAGGGTTTGGGGCCACAACAGTTGGGTTGAGAGAGACCCAGTACAGAATCGCTGGGACATAATGAGGTGCTGAATGACCAGCCATCGTTTGTGGACATCTTTCTCTGTGGAAGAAGACATCATGAACTCTTGCCTGGAAGGGGGTGGCTCTGCAGGCCCAAGCGAGGGAGGGGCGCTTCTGATTCTGCACCATCCTGCAAAGACCAGCTTAAGCTGTATTTCCTCAAGGAGCGCTAGCTGCCTGCAAGGAAAACTAAGTACCACCCATGTATTCCATTGTACCCTGGTCTGTGCTTTGTGGCACTCATTTTGTCATTTGCTTATCTTTTTCATGGGTTGGTAATTGTCATCCCACGTTCAAGACTACAAAGAACAGCAAAGGCCCACCAAATAAAATGCAGGTGGTTTGTGGGATTTTGCTTGCTTTGTTTTGTTAATTGGTTGGTTTTGAGATGAGTTCTCATGTAGCCCATATTAGTCTTACTATGAAGCTGAGGATAGCCTTGAACTTGTCATCCTTCTCCATTTCCTAAATGCTTGGATTATAGGCATGTGCCAACCGTGCCTGGTTTATACAGTACTAGGGATAAAACTCAGGGTTTTATGCTTGTTAGGAAAGCGCTTTAAACCACTGACCTGTATCTCCAGCCTTGTTATGATGTGTGTTTTGAATTGAGTAGGATTTTGACCTGTTTTGGGAGAGCTCTAAAGATCTGGTCTCTCAAGAACCTTAGAAGATTTTGTTGTTCATGTAAAAAGTCATTGTCTTCTGATACAGGATATAAAAGAGATTGGACATAATGGGAAGAATGCA